CAACTATTGAACCTAAAAATAAAAAAGAAGCACTTCTTGATGATTCTTGGATAATTGCTATGCAAGATGAACTTAATCAGTTTACTAGAAATAATGTTTGGGATCTTATACCTAGACCTCAAAATAAATCCATTATTGGAACAAAATGGATGTTTAGAAACAAATTAGATGAATTTGGTCAAGTTATTAGAAACAAAGCTAGATTAGTTGCTCAAGGTTATAATCAAGAAGAAGGAATTGATTATGATGAAACTTATGCACCTGTTGCTCGTTTAGAATCAATAAGAATTTTACTTGCATTTGCATGCTTTATGAATTTTAAATTATATCAAATGGATGTTAAAAGTGCATTTCTAAATGGTTTTATAAAAGAAGTTTTTGTAGAACAACCTCTAGGTTTTGAACATGAAACTTTTTCAAATCATGTTTTTAAACTTAAGAAAGCTTTATATGGTCTTAAACAAGCACCTCGTGCATGGTATGATAGATTAAAAAAGTTTCTTTTAACTTCAGGTTTTGAAATTAGAAAAGTTGATTCAACATTATTTATTAAGAAAATAAATAAAGATATTTTACTAATCCAAATATATGTAGATGATATTATTTTTGGTTCTACTAACAATAATCTTTGTCAAGAATTTGCTAAGAATATGCAGGATGAATTTGAAATGAGTCACATGGGTGAACTAAATTTCTTTCTTGGACTTCAAATTAAACAATTGAAAGAAGGAATTTTCATCAATCAAAGCAAGTACGCAAAAGATTTACTTAAAAGATTCGGATTGGAAAATTCAACAAGCAAACCAACACCTATGAGCACTACGACATCTCTTGACAAAGATGAAAATGGTAAGAATGTTGATCAAAAGCTCTATCGAGGTATGATTGGATCACTTCTTTACATTACTGCTAGTAGACCTGATATTATGTTTAGTGTATGTTTATGTGCAAGATTTCAATCAAATCCTAAAGTTTCACATCTTAAAGCAGTAAAAAGAATATTTAGATATATTAAAGATACTACAAATTATGGTTTATTTTATCCAAAACATAGTTCTTTTGATTTAATATCATATAGTGATGCTGATTTTGCCGGATGTAAATCTGATAGAAAAAGTACAAGTGGAACATCATTTCTTTCATTTTACTTACTTCAAATTTTCCACCAAACACATTCCTTACGTGATCATGTGCTTAAAGGTGATATTTTATTAGAATTTATACCTACTGATAAACAAATAGCAGATATATTAACAAAACCCTTAAAAGAAGAAATTTATGTAAAATTAAGAAGGGAATTAGGTATATGTTCAATTGAAGATTTAAATTAAATTTTTAAAACAAACACATATGCATACATACCCTTAATAGTCGACTAATTTGACCTATAGTCGACTACATGCATAAGTGATGCATATAAGTTTTTCTGTGAATTACAGTGTAGTCGACTAATTTCATCTATAGTTGACTACTCTAAGTTAAAATCTTAAAATCAACTCTCTGTCGTTTACAGTGTAGTCGACTAATTTCATCTATAGTCGACTACTCTGAGTCAAAAACTAAAAATCAACTTTCTGTCGATTACAGTGTAATCGACTACTTTTCTTATTAGTTGACTACTAATACTGAATTCACAGTTTTACAATCTTAAAGCTTATTGGATTTTTATTAAATCAAACCAAAAACCCAAAACCCAATACCCGTTTCATTTAAGTAGAGTTGATCTCAACCATACATTTTTAACTCTACAAATCCTAGCCTCATATCTAACATAAAATCTTCACCTTTCATTTTTTTAGTTAAATCTAAACCATACAATGCAAATTCTTTTAAAAAGAAAAAATAAAAACCTAAAAACTACCCACTAACTCATCCCAAAACCGAGTCTTCCTCTCTTCAGAACCCACCGATTCCAAGTTAGGGCATCTTCGTTCTCCTCAAAACTTTCATCAAGTTCATCTTTTTCAGCAGTCTGTCAGGTTCTGTAGTCAACTACACCAAATTATAGTCGACTATTCTAGGGTTTCATCAGTTTATGGTAAAATTCTCAACTTGATCTTTGTATTTTCTGTTATTTTTCTGTCTTATCATGTCTAGAGCTAAGAAAGATAAGAAAATCCATACTAATGTTAACGATGAAATCATCATTTACTTAAAAAGTCCTGATTTACTAGAAGAATTTAACAAAATTTCCACTTTTGAAGTTCTTCCAGGACGATTTGTGAAATTTGATGATTTTATTCCCTGGAACTTTGGATCATATTTTGATAATGTGGGCTTGCTTGAATTATTCTCTGCTGAAAATAGAAAACCCACATATCCTTTTCTTGTTCAATTGTTCTATACTAATATAGAACGTGTTGGAACTATTGGTGGTTCTGAAAAACTCAAAACTCTTGTTAAAGGAATTGAAATTGACTTGACTACAAAGTCAATTGGAAAAATTTTTAATATTCCTTATCAAGGAGTCTCTCTTAGGTCAGTTAGGATGAATGACTCAGATCTTTTATCAAATCATATATTTTTTCCTGGTTATAGTAAACCTTTAAGTAATTCAAACAAACTTCGTCCAATTCCTAGGTTCATTGCACGAATCTTAGCATATAACTTGTTTCCAAAAACTGGAAGTTTCCATTTCATTTCCCTGGACTTAGAAAAAGCTCTATATGCTATAATGAGAAATATCCAAGTTAATTGGGCTGAAGTTTACTTTGACAATCTTCTGACAATTCCAAGAGGATTTCTTCCATATGGTGCTTTTTTAACAAAAATCTTTGACAAATTTCATGTGGATCTTCAATCTGAAAATTCTGTTGTCCGTTCCATTGAATTTTTTGATTCAAATGCCCTAACTAGGATAAAGTTAACAAAATTTGAAATTCAAAAACAAAATCCTCAAGATGAACCTCATCCACATCAAGAAGAAATTCCACAAGATATTCCACAATCTTCAACTCAAGCAGGAACTTCTTCTAGTCAACCACCACCATTTCCTACAGAACCCTCATGTTTTTTAGACGTGCAATACAACACACTTAGTGCACGTATTCTTGAACTTGAAACTGGTCAAAGAGCTCTATATTCTCAGAATTCCTATATCATTAGTAATCAAGAAGAGCTAATCAAGAAGTTTGAAGACTTGGACACAAAGCTTAATGCATATTTTCAAGGACAGCAACCTCCTCCAGCACCTTAGGATGTTTTTATGTTAAGTTTCAAAACAATTATGTTATTNTATGGACTATGTTCATAATCTGGATAATTTGTTTGAAGTATTAGCTCATGTTGAAGAAATAATATAATATTTAGCATAATTGTTTATCTCTTTTTGTTGATAACAAAGGGGGAGAAATGGTTGGTTATCTATATTAGATTTATGTATTGTTGTTATAGACTCTAATTTGCACATATGCAGGGGGAGTAAGTATGGTTATTTCATAATGTTTAAACCTTGTTATAAAATACATACTTATACATAAATTATTTGTTATCATCAAAAAGGGGGAGAATGTTGAATATCATATCTCCATGATAGTATTTTAATGATAACAATTTATACAATGTGTGTTATACAAATGCACTAACTCTTATATGCAGCTTTCAATATCAAAATATGAACAAGTACAAGTTGAGATTCAAGGCATTATGAAGTGAAGAAGATGAAGAACATATGAGATAATGTATTTTACATTTTCTTTACTTAGAACTATTGTACAAGCCTTAATCACTTACACACACACATAAATATTAGAACACACTAACACATGCTTAGTGTGTTGGTTAACTATAGAAATCCCCTATGTTAACCATTAGAGTTATAGTTAAAAATTGGAGTGTCAAAACATTTAATTTATATCATTTTCTAACTTTTAGTAGTCGACTAATTAGAATAGTAGTCGACTACTCATGTTTATGTCTTAAATATATGTTTCTGTAAATTTACAGTATAGTCGACTAATATGAATAATAGTCTACTACTAAAGTTTATGACAGAAACATAAGTTTCTGTTATTTTACAGTATAGTCGACTAATTGATATTATAGTCGACTACTGAAGGCAAAATTCATTTTCTAAGTTTTTGTTAAATTACAGTATAGTCGACTAATGAACTTTATAGTCGACTACTGAGAAATTTTCTGAATACACAGAGTCTGTTTAAACTCAGTGTAGTCGACTAATCAGTCTTGTAGTCGACTACAGATACAGTTTTTCCAGAATTTAAAGTTTGAATATATGAATGTTTATAGCCGTTTTTAAACGTTTTTAAAGTTCAAAAACTTTTCTTTTTAAGGGCTATAAATAGGTTATTTGTTTAGAAAAAATGGAGAGATTTACATACCCATAAGCTTTGATCTTTGTGTATTTTTTAAGTGAAAAATATTCAGATTTTGAGAAAAAGAAAAGTTTCTGAAATTACCTTTGAACATCATTCAAATACTTATTATTTAGGCAATTTACAGAAGTTAGAATCATTCCTAAGCCACTACTACACTACACTACAAATCAAGGCTTATAGGAATTGAAATTGTTGCTTCAAAAGTTCTCTCGAGTTGTGAGAGGTGTTAATCTCTTGGTTTAGAGATTGGTGTGCAAATTGACAATGTGTTTGTCAATTGGTGTTGCAATTTACAGGGACTTGCAAATTGGTCAGGTTTGCTTTTGATTTTGTAAGTTTATTCAAAATCATAGTGGAAACTCTCAAGCGGGATTTGCTTGGGGACTGGATGTACACTTGATTGGTGGAACCAGTATAAAACTTTGTGTTTGTGATTGTGAATTTCTGAGATTGCCATTTTTCTTTACAATTTATAATCTACTTTGCATAAATTTTAAAAGAATACTATTCACCCCCCCTCTAGTGTTCTAGTGTATCTATTTCAGATCCTGTAGTATATTCCTGTTTGAATTCCAAAATGAGAGCAGTATGAGAGGGATATTGGAAGGTGGTTCTTAGTTCTTTGGCCCACGTTCTCTTGTTTTAAAGCCATGGACAATTGATATGGACATAGAGAAACTACAAGACCAAAATTACCCCATATGGGTGCAATTTCCTAACCTAAGGTTGAATTTGTGGAGTTCCACTGGAATTAGTAAGATTGCTAGTTTGATTGGATGTCCTATTGCTACTGATAAGCTAACTGCCTCAAGACCAAGGTTGAGTTATGCAAGGGTTTTGTTGGAAGTTGATTTGCCTTTTAAAGAACCACTACCTGATCAAATTGAAATTCAAGGTCCGGATGGTAAAAGTTATCATCAAAAGGTGGTTTATGAGTTCAAACCAAGATGGTGCTCCTTTTGTAATAGTGTAGGACATGATTCTCAGCACTGCAGGAAACATGTTCCAAAAAGAGTGTGCGTGCCTGTTAATAAACCTGTACCTAGTGTTTCTAATGAAGTGAGGGAGCCTGTTAATAAACCTTCCAGTGTTGCTAATGAAGTGAGGGAGGCTGTAGAGAGGGGTATCTTTTCTGATAAGAATGTGGTGCTAAATTTTCAAGGATCAATTGCTAAAGAATCTGAGAAGGTTCTAATTGATACAGCTCCTGTAAAACATGCACTGCTGGAAAAACATGCACAAAATTTTCCTGTTTCTCTGCAGACTGGGAAAACATGCACAGATTTCAATCAAGCTGAGAAAGTGAAACAGAAAGCTTACTCTTGCTCTCCTCCTATTAATTCAAGTGGATTTACTTTTGTCACTAGAGCTAACACTGCAAAAAGACCTATTATGAGTGATCCTGGAACATCAGTGGAAGCCTCTCAATTTTCTATTCTTGATCACCAAATTTTTGATTTGGATCCCTCTAATGCTGATAGAGGGGGTACTTATCAATAATGCACTTAGCTATTTGGAATGTTAGGGGGTTTAACAAATCCTCTAAACATGGAATAGTGAAAAAAATTATTCAAGAGTACAATATTTCTTTTCTAGTACTCTTAGAAACTAAAATTGTTGGGGATAAGAAATTGCAATTTATTGGCAAGAAAATTGCAAAAGAGTGGAAGTGGATATCAAATAAGCAATTGGCAAATAATGCTAGAATATGGGTACTATGGTATAGTGAAATGCTTTCAGTTCAAGAGGTCAAATCCTCTGATCAATATATCACCTGTGCTATAAAATCTAAGGATGACAAATTGTCATGCCTTTTCACTGCAGTTTATGCTCACAACCTGAATGATGAAAGGAAATCTCTTTGGGAAGATCTATTAACTTTCAAAAGGAGTGTTGACTGCCCATGGTTTGTGGGTGGGGATTTTAATGCTATTGTAAATGGAGATTAAAAAATTGGAGGTGCTTCTGGTGCTGGAAATGAAGACTTTCAAGATTTTATCTCATTTAGTCAACTGAGTCACATTAAAACTACTGAGTGTTTTTTCACATGGAGTAATAAGCAGGATGCTGAAACAAGAGTATGAAGTAGGTTAGACAGATCCTTGGTCAATCAAGATTGGGTTCACCATTATACTACAAGTCAAGTGGAATATTTGATGCCCCTTTGCTCCGATCACTCCCGTGGACTTATCACTATTGGTGATGACATTTTTGAAGTTAAAAAGCCTTTTAAATTTTTCAATATGTGGGCTAAACATCCTGACTTTTTAGAAGTGGTGAGGTCAGCTTGGAATCACAATGTCAGGGGGTATAATATGTACAGATTCTATTCAAAACTCAAAAGCCTCAAGCATGCTCTTAAGGACCTCAACAGGAAGAATTACATGAACATAAGACAGCAAGTTCTAAGAGCTCAAACTGAACTATTGGATATCCAATCCAAACTGAGCAAAGATCTTTTTAATGCTATTTTGATTTCAAAGGAGAAAGAGTGCACTAAGAAATATGCTGTATTATTGGAAAATGAAAATTCATTTTATTTTGATTTCAAAGGAGAAAGAGTGCACTAAGAAATATGCTGTATTATTGGAAAATGAAAATTCATTTTTGAGGCAAAAAGCAAATATCAAATGGGGTCAAGAAATATGCTGTATTATTGGAAAATGAAAATTCATTTTTGAGGCAAAAAGCAAATATCAAATGGGGTCTTCATTCTAATAAGGGCTCTCATTTCTTTCACTCAGTTATGAAATCTAGGAGGCACCAGAACAGAATTATGTCAATTTACACTACAGATGGCTCTAGAATTTCTGACTTGCCTGGAATTGCATCAGAACTCATTGATTACTACAAGAAGCTACTGGGATATTCTAGAATTTCTGACTTGCCTGGAATTGCATCAGAACTCATTGATTACTACAAGAAGCTACTGGGATATACTAAGGCCAATTCAATTGCTGATTCTAATATAATCTCTAATGGTCCTACTTAAACTTCTGATCAACAGAATGCTCTGAGTTCTCCTGTATCTAGGGAAGAGATCAAACAAGCATTATTCTCAATGCCTGACAGCAAGGCTCCTGGACCTGATGGCTTCAATGCTTACTTCTTCAAATCTGCATGGAGTGTTATCAATGAGGATCTATTTCTAGTAGTTGAGGAATTCTTTCACTCAGGTACACTTTTGGGTTCCCTTAATAACACATCTATTACTCTTATTCCCAAGGTGCTCAATCCTATGTCAGTTGCTGATTATCGGCCTATATCTTGTTGCAATGTCATTTATAAGATCATTTCTAAAGTTATTGCTACTAGGGTGCAAAAAATCATGGGCTATCTAATTAATAATGCACAATGTGCTTTTGTAAAGGGAAGGCTCATTTCTAGTAACTTCTTGTTGGCTCATGATCTATTAAGCACTATGGTAGGAAAAATAACTCTCCTAGAGCTATGCTGAATGTTGATTTAAGGAAGGCTTTCGACACTATTAGTTGGGATTTCATAAGGAGTATGTTGATTGGATTAGGCTTTCCTAATAACATGATTTGTTGGATCATGGAATGCATTTCCACTCCCAAATTCTCCTTATCTTTAAATGGTGGACTGCATGGTTACTTTCATGGTGCAAGAGGACTGAGACAAGGGGATCCACTCTCCCCCTATCTTTTTGTCATTGGGATGGAACACCTATCTAGAAAGCTCAATACTCTAAAAGATGATTCTTCGTTCAAATTCCACCCGAAATGTTACAGATTGAAGATTAACCATTTAATCTTTGTTGATGACTTGCTACTGTTTTGTAAAGCTGATATGAACTCTATTTGAAAAAATTTTACATGCCTTCAAGAGTTTGGACAAGTCTCTGGTTTGGAAGCTAATTCCAGAAAGTGCTCTGTTTACTTGAGTGGAGTTAATAATAGCCTTAAAGATCAGATATGCAATTATCTGAAATTCCCTGAGGGAGTGCTACCTATGAAATATTTGGGCTTACCATTGAATGCAAAAAGACTCTCATACATTGACTGCTCTAGCCTTATTAGAAAAATCAGCAATCAGTTTCAATCCTGGCAACAAAAGAAATGTCTGACTTATGCCGGTAAACTTGAATTGATCAAATCTATTATTTTGGGCATTCAAACTTACTGGCTTAGCAATTACATATTGCCAATAAAAGTTTTAGAGAAAATCGACAGAATGTGCTCAGAATTTTTGTGGGGATGAAAACTTCATTTGGTGAACTGGGAAGCTGTCTGTCAAAGGAAAGAACAAGGGGGTTTAGGGATTTTTTTCAGCTAAGTTTTGGAACTACGCTGCTGCTACAAAGCTCCTGTGGATGATTCATCTCAAAAAAGACCTCCTATAGATCAAGTGGATACATGGTAGCTATCTAAAAATCAAAGCATATGGGCAGTTCAATCAAAGGCTAATGATTCATGGATGTGGGGGCAGCTCCTTAAAGTGAGAGACATGTTGCTGAATAAGTTTGGTAATGCTGATAATACAAAGAATATGTTAACTGAATGTTGCATTGGTGATAAGCTTCAGTTGTCTTCAGTATATAAGACACTTGTGTAGCCTGCAAATGAACACTGGTAGAAAACGACTTATTCCAGACGGAAAATTCCGTCTGGAATAACTTGAATTCCGTCTAGAAAATGTATTCCAGACGGAATTTCGTCTGGAATACGGGTCTAATTTATTTCCGTCTAGAATAAGTTATTCTAGACGAAAATTCCGTCTGTAATATAATCCAGACGGAATTTTTTAGACGGAAAAAAAAACCGTCCGTAATACTTAAGCGACGGAATTTTTCCGTCTGTAATAAGTAATGCAGACGGAATTTTCCAGACGGAAAATTCCGTCTGCCTTAATCAACATCCCAGACGGAAATTTCCGTCTGGGTTATTTAACCCAGACGGAAATATCCGTCTGGGATATTAGCAACCCAGACGGAAAATTCCGTCTAGGTTGTCCAATATCAACTCAGACGTTTTTACATCCCAGGCGGATATTTTCGTCTGGAATGTAAAAAATCCGTCTGGGATACCTGTAAATCATTCTGGAATGCACACAAATTTCACACAAATTGGTTGTAAATCACACAAATTTCACACAAATACCTGTATAATCCAGTTTACACATTTCATAATAAAAATCACATATTTCATAATAAAAATCACACAAATTTCACAATAAAAATCACATATATAATCAACAATAAAAATCACAACAAAGTCACACATAAAAATCACATATACATATCATCTCTCCCATCTCTCTCGTCTGCCAACTTATAATCATCCACATACGCATATAAATTTGTAAACTGACTCAATCAACTCACTGTTTGTTTTTGGGCTCAACACAAACCGATATCCAAGTCACACATGATTATTTTTTCCACAACAAAGTCACACATGATTATTTAAAAATATGACAAACCGATATCCAAGTCCACGAGCATTTTTTCCTCTAGAGATCACCAACAACAATAACACTCCTCCCTTGGCTTAGAAGTGATTGCCACCGTTCCTACAACGAAGGGGTAACAGTGAGCAAATGGAATAAACATAGAAAGAACAAAACATATGCAACTTATCTACTGTTATGGGAACTACAACAACAGAAACATGCGTACGTAAACTATTAAGTGTGCATTCTACTAAATACTTCGATGTTGGTAAAGTGAGCAAATGGAATGAAATGTTAGTGAAGATTGTGCTTTGATTATTTACTCTACATAATTGAGTCAATGCTTTTCTTTTATTTTCCCCCCTTCAATCAACCACTTAACTGCACATATTAAACAGAACTCAGCAAAAGACTGTAGAGAATGAGGTCATTTCAAGTTGTTTGTCTCACAAAAACATTATAACAGATGTGTTCACTTCAGAATAAAAAAAAAAATATGAGTAGTAACTAATAACCAGAATGAAGTAACCAGCAAAATAGGAACATTTAACTTCATAATTACATTTATGTTCAACGCCTAAATCATACAGATGCTTTAAAAATTATTGTGAGAGCACTTTACTCTCACAGCGATTATGCAATCCAAATAATATTCAGTGGGTGGCCATAACATACAGAGGATCCCCATTTTTTAGAAAGCAAAACCGTTTGAAAACCGAAAATTTGAAAACAAAAGGACCTGAAAGCTGAAAATATCAGCAGATGAGGTTAGGAAGGGAAATGTGCTTCATATTACTGGAGATTCTGGTAATTTTGGTCGGAGCTGAAGGAAAATGGAATGATTGAAACATGTACAGTAAAGTTCGGGGAATTTCATTCAGTCAAACAAGAAGAAAATTTGAATGAATCAAACCTTGCAAACCTTGAACCAAATCAAACCTGACTTGTCATATAACTGAGATATCGTGACAAGTTAAGCATAACGAAAGCTACCAAACTTCCAAGAAACTAACATTGAATTGCAGGCATATTGATGTAGTCCAAGAATGGTGGAGCTAAAAAAATCAAAACAAGCATAAATAAGACAAATGATGTCCAAGTTCGTAGCAAGATTTTACAGCTAGTCGGCTGTAGCTTTTACCCAAAAGCATCGAGATAGCGGTATCAGAATTATAACAACTCAAGAACAACCTTGAAAACAAAAGAAACTGGATAGAGTAACTTGAATGTGTGCCTTAGAATTATGCATCCTATCATGGGATGTCTGTAGCATGTCTGACTATCAATTGCTTTTACCTCAAAAAAAAAAACAACAACATAAACTAGCTTCAGATACTAACAGCAGGGTCAAATTGAAAAAAGCTAGAGGATAGACATGGACAGCAAGTAAATCAAAGCTACCACTGACTTCTAGTACAAGGTGGATAAGTCCATCCGCTTCATTAATTAGTTACTATATTCAACTTATTTAGTTAGAAATTTTGATATGATAAATGTTGCTTTGCTTTGGAAAGTCTCATTGTCGCTGTCATACAATTTTTTCCTTGGCACTCCACCCTCCTAATGTCTAACCTTTTCGTTTCAAGGGAGTGCCATTTTTTCATTCTGGTGATGAGATACTGCGTTCCAAGTCACTTGACCGCGACTCTTATAACTCAGGCGATTGGTTCAATAGGTTGGCTTCGTTATTCTTTTGAGAGTGCATTGTTTAGTTCACATTTAAATTTCGTATTGTCAACTGAAGATTTTCTCATCCTGTCTGACTTTCAGTGTGAACTTTTCTTTATTAGTTGCTCTTGTATCTTTAAAACAGTAGATGTGATCTTTAAATCATTATAAACTTATCATTTGGAAATGACTGATGAATGTGTTCCATATGTTTTAGGCTTGATTTCAGTTATGAGACGAACAATTGGGGTGTCGGCCTACCTCCGAGAGAAAAGAATGAAAAGAACTGGCCATTGTAAGCATGAATTTTTCTGGTATAAGTTCTAATAGTATTCAATTATTTGTTTTCTTCAGATATCTCATTCTTTCGAACACTCGTTTGTTATTATTACCTTATATATATATATATATATATATACATCGATCCAACGAAAGCATCCTATGCGTATGGCTTCTAACTGGCACAATTTAACTAGTAAGTCATGCATGGAGCTTTTTGTTGTGATAAGACTAATATACAAAATTGACATCATTTTATCTCTACATACACATACACACATACAATTAACTAACTTACCTCATAAAATCAAGAGTCATCCTCATCGTCATGTTCCCTCCTCTGCACGCCACTACTGCTTCCGCCAGCAAGTCCAGCCTGAAAATTAATAGATTTACATTTAGAGAACGACATTTAACAATATAAGACATATTATTAATTTACCTGTGCGCCAGCGTCTAAATCTATTTGGTCCAAAACTTCTCCAAATAATTCAGCTGAAATCTTCCCGGACAAGCATAAAACGATGTGTCTAAAAACATCGTCGCTAGTAGGGGATGGAGGCAAATCTGAACACATAGCCTTCGTCATCTGCATGAGTAAAGTAGGGTCGATCTTACCGTGCAGATAACGGTTGACGCGCATAATTGTAGAAATGGTGTGAGTTCTGTTTGATGATGTAGTTGCAGTCGAGGTTGTCGAGGATGCCGTGGAGGATTTTCTGGAGGTACCCCGCTGAGCTCCAACCCCCATCAATGGGTATCTACCCCGGTTATTATACCCCATCACATTCATTGCAATGACATTACTTTCCTCTCTTGACAAAACATGAGGGTCATCAGCAGCTTCTTGGGTAGCACGTAGTGCTGCATCCTTCGACGCGGCAGCAATATTATCCTAAATCACATACAGAAAATAGATATATATTGAATTGGCAAATAATGATTTCAAGTTACAAAAGTTTAAACTCCTAATTAATGAAATGTACAACAACGTAATAGTTATTAATTTATATTTGTTGAAAAATAATTACCACCAACACCATGTTTTCTTTAATCTTCTCTTCATCTTTATATGTTGAGTGAAATGTGCCGTAAGCTAACTTTGCCTTCAAATTGATCGGCATTATCGGCTTCCCCTACAAAATATAATAGGAAATGTCGAAGAGTTTGGCCAAATTGAAGGTGTTAGCATGTGAATACATCAACTTTAAATATTATACCGTGTCTCGACAATATCTATACTCAAGGTTGGCAAAGGACCTCGATCCCAAGTGGTGGTCAAGCTTGCGCTTGCTATGTCGGTTCGTCGAGCCCTTCTTAGATTTATCCTACAAAAATTACGCGTGTTAAAAATAAATTGCATTTACAATATGCTCATGTACGCAACCTGATAATGTACTCGTACCTGTGCGGACTCGGTATCCCAATAAAAAAGAAGAGCCGTGAAATGATCGAGATCCACCCTCTCATCGAGATTTAAAAATCTCTGCCAGTCTTGGGTATATTTATCATATGTTGATATCTTCAGCTCATGTCGCCACTGTTTGAGCACGGCCTCAACTTTGATATTGAAAACATAGTGCCACGCCCCCGGGTAGTCCTCAAGACAATAGTATTTCTACAATTTTGCATGTAAAAATATAAGATATCTAAGCATTTTGTAAACGTATTCTATATCAAAAAAAATTAAAGAAGTAATGATCATATACCATCAACTCTCTCTATATATCCTCGTATGCGGACCATGGAAGCTCCTTGAATTTGAAGTATGGGTTTATGACTTGAGCCCGCCGTACTAAAACGCCGATGTAGTTATTAAATTTTTTTGACCACGGGCCGATCGGCAAGTTATCAACCCACTGAAGAATTCCCCGAAAGCCTCTCGGTGCCTGTTTGGAATCAGGCTTGCTTCCACCACGTCCTCCCGGTCCAGTTGCATCTCGCTTTGGAAGTTAAGTATAAAAAGGCAAAAACAATGAGACAAAATTATTATATTTACCTCTCTCCACTTCTCTATCCCTCGCAGCGATTGCAACTTGCTTTCTAACTTGCATCATAGGCTTTAGTTCATCTAGCCTTTTGAGTGCAAGTGGATGATACTTCAAAGCATTAGTCTTTGATATGATCGAGTCTGGAGGCAATGGTAGATTGGGGATGTCAGGGGTCCACAAACGCAACTCGGCCCCCTGCGTATCATGCGAAGACGATGGTGTCCAAGAACCCTCTACAATGATTAAAGAAGATAATCAATACGAGAAAATTGAAGGATCATTATATTGAGATGCAAAGCAAAAATAAATATATTGCGACACCATTACCTTCAGTGTGGGAGGACTCTGCATGTGAATCAGTGGCTCCGGGTGAAGAAAAATCAATGCATGCCAAATTATGTATGTAAATAAAAATTAATATTGCTAATATACAATAGATTTTAAATACAAAAGCTGGACTTTAAATATGATTGGATAAATATTACAAACACATATATTTTTAAATACAAAAGCTGGACTTTAAATATGATTGGATAAATATTACAAACACATATATGATTAATACCTATATGAGGCGAGAATGCTAGAGTCGTGTCCCGTAGACGACCCGATAATTCCGCATCATCTACTCATATAAAAACAACTTAGCCTAAATGATGTTTCATATGTCTACTTTGAGTTGTAAAAGATAATTGAAATTCATACCACTATCCGTATGGGATGAAATGCGTGCCTCCTGAAGCTGTTCTGAGCCTAGGGCCTCCTGAAGCTGTTCTGAGCCTAGGCTCGTAGATCGTGACCGATCACGTGATCGATCGAATAACCTCGAGTTCTTCATCTGTAACATGGAATTAGCAGAGTTCAATATGAAATATTTGCCTACTAATTCACAAGATAAACATTTACTGCAATTAAACATTTAAATGACATACATAATATACCTTCTACAACTTGCTATTTTCGTATTGAACGAGGTATTGTTTGTATTATTCGGGCTATATTTAATGTTGCTTGCTTTCGTCTACTAGTAGTTGATTCTAGTTGCACATCTGCCTCCGGTTCTCTATCCCCGTCTAAAATTGGGTTGTCAGCCTGAATCTCCGTATCTGTTAAATCAAGCATGACATTCTGAGGGTAAGAGAAATTCTGCCAAATATCATCAGAAGAACCAATTGGTTCATTGTCCTCATCACTATCGGCGTTATTATTAGGAAGGACAATAGATCTTGGCTCCTTGTATAGCACGACCCAATCGGCGGCAACCCTTGGATCTTTCACATAGAAGCACTGGTCCGCCTGTTCTGCGAATATGAACTTCTCATCTAGGTATATCTCTTTGTCGAGGTTTACTAGTGTAAACCCATAATGATCCTTACGCGGTTTGGCAGGACTCCAACGAACCTTAAACATGCAATAATTACGCTAATTTTTTTTTACCATAGCCGTAAATTATCTCTACAATATCTTCCAACTGGCCATAATATAAGATGTCAGCTTCAACTGGGTTTTGATCTCTTATGCTAGAAAAACATTCTTGAGCAAAACAGACCATGACCCCACTATTTTGCGTTACCCTCTTATCATCGGTCGCCACTGTTTTAAACTTATACCCATTAATGATGTGTTCACTATATCGTCTCACTTCATAGTAAGGACATTGTGTGTGTACTAAAATATCTTCAGAGATTACGGCACCAGCAAGAACGTCTTTATCAACCTAATTCAAGCATCAATTGAATAAAATGATCTCCGAGTTTGCTTAAAAATTTAAAAATAAAAAATACAATACTACTTCTACGCTACTTACATCGGTTCTGAACCAATCGGGAAAATCTTTGATGTGTTTTTTTGGATATCATGTGCTGTATTCCTGCCTGATATTTCATTGTTAAGCTTCTCCAAATGTCGCCTATTTATACAACAATGAGATTGTATTGATACAATGAATGTAAATAATACAAGTGTCATCCTATTCCTAAATTAATGTACATTACCTTCGATAATCGCTGAAAATGTCAAGATTATTCAATACATATGCATGAACCTGCTCCAAGTCAGATCTTGGATATTTTACGAGTTTTTTCTCCTTAGTTGGGGGCTGATCAGCTTTTACGCGGTTGCACATGTAACGTGATACAAACGTATGACATTCGTTGGTCACATAACCTTCAGCCATAGAACCCTCAGGATGAGCTCGATTGCGAACTAGACGCTTCATAAACCCCAAATATCTACAATAATTAAAATTTTATGAACTACAAAAATCTAATCTAAAGAAAATCATGAAAAGGACAAATATTAGCTGTATACATTGCATATGAAATTAATGCACTGGGTGGAGTCCCTTACCTCTCAATTGGGTACATCCAACGGTAAGATACAGGACCCGCAATGATTGCCTCGCTAGCTAGATGTTGAGTAACATGGACCATGACCGTGAAGAAGGAAGGAGGAAATATTAACTCCAGGTTGCATAAAATTAATGATACGTCTGTTTCAAGCTTTTTAAATTCCTTCACATCTATAACTTTCGAGCACAATTTTCCGAAGAACCCACAATACTCCATAATAATTTTCGATGCTTCTTTCTCCATATTATTACGCAATGCAACCGG